AAAAATTGGGAAATTCACATAAAAATTAGAAGACAGTGGCAGTAATTGGTTGAGCTGAGGACAGTGGGGGTTGGGAGTTCCCCTGTTTACGACAGTCCCCGACCTGCCAATTCCCAAACACTGCTTGGCTCCTGTTGATGTGTGAGTTGGTGACACTCACTCGAATTCTCCTGGTCAGTGTTCACCGGTGCCAATGTCCACCCTGTCTGTGAGCCTGACTCCTAGGACCGCCCCAGTGCCACTGAGGTCAGGTTTTTGAGCACGTGCTCTCTCACTGTAACTTTCACTCTGCCCACCTCATCCCCGGAGCTGCTCTGGGATGCTTTGGGGCCACATGGGATTGAGAGGTTGGGGGTCTCTGGAGAGACAGGGTCCAGCCATTTCAACCAACCCCAGTACTCTGGAGTGACTCCCATCTGGGCACTGTCCCACGGCAAGGTGGGAACGGGAAGGGAAGGAAAGTATGGCTCACAGACAACTCCCCTCTTCCTATATACAGTGAGGACGGGCCAACCAGAAAGGATAATAAATAAATCCGTTTAAAACGTTTTTAAAACTCCTATCAAACAAGACCTCAGATTATTCGGCATGGGTTGGTTTTTTATATGCTCTTGTAAATTAAATATTCGGATTAATCCATTAAATGCGGATAATACTGGGATCTACCTCATAAGCTATTACGAGGTTTAAATGAGTTAATATTGTAAAGTGCTTAGATCACTGCCCGGCACATGATAAGCACTGTGTGCCAGTGACTGTTCAATAAAGTAACAAATAATTGTTACTTTATGCAGGGCGTGACTATCAAGTATGAAAACACCATTTTCAAAGTACAACACAGAGTCCTGTCTCTTTTGGAAGCAGAGCCTGGGGAGGCCGTCTGCTTTCCCCCAAGCAGGGTACATTTCTTGAAGCATTCTGGCCTCCTTCAGAAAAAAAGTCTGACATTGCAGACTCACAGCATCCCTACCTGGCCTGGGAAGCAGAGACTGGCAACTCAACCCCAAACCATGTGTGGCTCTGCCGAGCTTCATGTGAACTTGATCCAACACGAGTGGTTCGGATGACCTCAGCCACTCCGAACAGCTAATACTATTATCAAGATCACCTCTTGTTAGCTCAGAGCTTTATGGCTTATAAAACACTCTCCTCCTCCACCACGGAGGATATGCAAAAGGATGTCCTCCAAAGGACAAAATGTTTTGAATCATGGCCTTGCTTTAGAGGACACACCTCTCCCACAGGTATCAGTTCTGGTGTGGCGGGGTGTTTGGAAATTCAGCCACCTTCCAAATGCTTAGCAGGACCCCCCACCTCCAGAGGCTTTGGAAACAGTAATATGTGTAGAATGCTAAAATGAATCTGAAGCTAGTGCCATCATCTTTGATACGTCACAAGGCACTTTGGGATCTTAGGATACCTCAGGGTTCTAGTCACTGAGATGGAGCTGTGCTCAGGGTTGGGTAGTGGAACCCTCTGGAAGGGAATGCCAGATGACAGAGTGCTTGGTTTTATCTAACCCCAGATAGAAGGGGCCCCGCCCCCATTGCTGCTGACTTACAGAGCAGTTGGTGGCAGACCCCCTTCACTTCACCCCTGCCACTACCTGGGGTGGATGGGAGGAGAGCCAGAGGATGGGCTAGAAAGGGGGGCAGTGCTGGCAGGAGGGGAATGGGGCTGCTGTTCATCCCCACCCCTCACCTTTGTGCTTTATGTTCTCTGTCCCTTCTCAAAGGGTCTCCCCTGACCCCTCCTCTATCTTCTTCCTGGGCAGTTCAGAGCCATCCAAAACAGCCCACAGGGCAACAGAGGCTTGGGTTTGGGGAGGTTCAAAAGTGAGCAGCTGGGATAGGGGTCAGGGTGGGGCGCAAGTATTAGAACCTGGGTCAGCTTTTGTTGGTTTTTGTTGCCAGGTGGAGAAGGTGCTCCTAGCCCAAGCATCCTCAAATAAATAAAAAATAAAATGTTAATAAAGAAAGATTTTGGAGAAAGGAGTGTGGTGGCTACAGAGAAGCTCGTGTGGATGAGCCATACCACAGTGCTGGCTATCCACGAGGACAGTGTGGCTCCCGGCCACTGCCCATCACACTTATGGCACCCCCAGGCTAGGGTAGGGGCCTCGAGGCCTCTACTCTAACCAGAGACATCTGGGGAGTAGACAGGCCATGGAATTGGGAGGTCAGGGGGAGAGAGGGGCCCAGAGAAGCTGGGGTGAGAATAGGTACATAGGAAACTACCAAGGACTGCACAAACATCTCTCTGGCTCCCTAACACACATGCACACATATGATTATACACACCCACATACACAGGGCTGGCTGCAGCTCTTTACAACTTCAGTGGGTGCCAGTCACATTGGGGTCCATGTAAATGGCACTTCCTGGAATTGTGCAGTGCACAGCTTGAGCATTCATCCATGGCAGCCCTGCCATATGCACAAATGCTCATGCATAAGCACACCCACACTCACGAGCGTACATGCATGCACACAAACATACACACATATACAATCTCACTGAAACAAACATTTTACAAATCTTCAGGCCTCTTACCCTCCCCATACAGGCACTACCCTTTCTGGTACTCCCTTCACTAGTACCTCATTCCCCAGGGGAACAGAGGTGCTGGCTGACATGGGTAGGAATGAAGAAAGGGAACCTTGGGGTCTCTGCAGTGACAGATTGGGGCTGAGAAATGGGGGGAAAGGGCGTGAGCAATCTGGCACCTTGACCATCCCCCAGATATCTCCAGATCTCCATCTGACCTGCCCATCCTCTGTTCTGTCCTCACCACCACCCTCCCTGGGGGCCGACTGGCTGGGCTGAGCACCTGCAGGAAGGAGTCATCCTCTGAGAGGGGCAAAGGTAGGGCTGCTCCTGTCTGGGATCTGTCCTGAGACATCTGTGTTGCTGCTGAGCTCACAGTTCTCGCCTCATCCTTAACAACCACCTTCTCTGCCACTGCTTCTAGACTGGGTCTCCTCACTGCTCGGTCCCAGCCGGCTTTGAGGGGCAGGGGCAATCCCAGGCCCCTCTCATCCATCCTCATCTCCTGAGAAGCGGGGTCCAGCAACCAACCCTACCAGTGTCCTGGGGGAGGGGCAGCATGCTGTGTATGGGGCCCCAGGCCTCCTGGGGTAAGATGTGTGAGAGAGGGACTCTGACCTCTGTGATGATGGCATGCAGGAAAGGCTCACTAGGTCACAGAGCGGCCTACCCCCATCACTGAGCACAGACACACTCCTCCTCCACACTCTCGACCTGGCTGGCCGGGCCTCCATCCCATATCCAAGGCCACATGCCCTGCCCCATGCCGATGAGACACACACACGCACACACCACGCTGAGAGGGTCCCGGTCTCCTGCCAGCCCCTAAGGGTGAATCAGACCCAGCCATACCAAGAGATCACAGATTAAAGAGAAAAAAACCCATGTCAGACTGTGGCCCAGCAAGCCTCATCTCCCTGCCACCTTGGTTTCAACCGGACTCTGGACCCACTGGTGTCTCCAGCCCAGTGCCCCTGTCCTGTGCCTGAAACTGCAACACCAGCCCCACCCCTCCCTGCACCATTTGGCTGGCACCTAGCAAAGGGAGCCGATGGGGGTGGGACGGAGACCCTGCTTGGGGTGGGAGTATTACAGTACCTTGGGCCAACATTCTAGGGGGCCGTATTGCATGACGGGGTGGGATGGGCTGTGTGAGTGTGTGATTATTGCGTCCTGGGAAGGAACCATGGTCTCTGCCTGCTCCCCACCCCCCCCACCTGCCCCCTCCAGGAGGGGGGGGTGCCCAGCCTAGGTCTTGTGGGTGAACCGGGCCCACACCTGCTGCAGCTGGGACCGCGAGATGCGGAGCACCGAGGGCACGAGTCTGTGGTTGCCGGCGGCGAGGGGCGCGTGGCGCCGGTGGGGCGCCCGCACGGGGCTGCTCTCGGCCGACCGGCTGCGCTGAATGAGGGAACCGGAGGAGCCCGAGGAGCCGCCGCCGCCAGGGTGAGGGTAATGCTCCGTCTCCAGCGTGGAGGAGGAGAACACGGAGGACGCCAGTCGTCGCAGGGGGCTGTACCGCGGGAGGGAGTGCCCCGAGAGTCTGTCCTCCTCCAACTGAAAGAGACCAAGAGAGTGGAGGGAAAAGAGGCATCAGGTACAGACTCGACAGCTCCATCTCGGGGGCCACCCGCCGCTCACAGCCCCTGCAGCGCCGGCGTCCCTGCAGGCGGGCGGCTCGGCGGGCTCAGGCAGGGTGGAGAGGGTGCAGACCGCCCTCCCGAGGTCCCGCCTCAGAACCCAGGCTCCAGCCTCCAACACCCTGCCCCTCCTTCTCCTCTCTGGCACTTCTCACACCAGGGTCTCCTTTCAGAGACCTTGGTCACTCACCTCCTCCGGGAAGCCTTCCTGGTGTAGCCCTGCCTAGTTCAGGGTTGTTCTGGGCTGGGGAAGCCTCCCTCTCAGGAGGGCAGCTCTGGGACCGTTCCTCGCCATGCGAAGGCGCCGTGTGCTGCCTGTCTCCCTAGCTCTATGCCCCTCAGCAGATCTAAAGAACGTCCCCTGCACCTTGGCACTCCCACCCCATCACAGGGAGGCGCCAGGGTCTAAGGACAGACTCGAGCCCAGTACTGAATCCCAACTCCACCGCTTCCTACCTGGGTGACCTCAAGCAAGTTACTTCACCTCTCTGAGCCTCAGCTTCCTCATCTGTAAAAGGGGGTCATAGGGGCACCCACCTCAAAGGGTTGCTGTGAGGATTCGATGTTACGACAGGCAGAAACCTCAAAACAGTGCCTGCCACGGAGCAAATGCTGGGCTCACGTGAGCCATTTTAGTATTGTTTAAATCACTTTTCGGAATAGAAGAGGGATGGAGGACTCATGGGGCGGGGAGCAAATTGAAGTCATTTCTCCAAAGTGGCTTTTCCCCTGCCCTGTCCAAGGCCCAGGCAAGAGGCAGCCTGAGGAAGGCGCTTGGCCAAGCTGAGGCCTCCCTGCCAGCTGGAACTCCTGCCCTTGTGCCCCCGTGCCCTCAGAGGGAAGGGGAAGTGTCCCAGGCCATGGGGGTGGAAATGGTGGAACAGGTGCCCTGGATGTTCCCAGACCTCTCCCAGCCTGAACCCTAGCTCTTCCTGGCACTGCGGCCAGTTTAAATAGCTTGTAGTGTGGCAGTGAGGACTGGCTGGGCCAGCTCTAAGGGGCAGAAGGAGGAGGGGCCTGGAACACTCAGCCCCAGCGTCCCTTGCTGATGTCAAATGGGGGTACGGGGGACTGGGCATGGAACCTCCAGCAGAGTGGGGATGAGAGAGAACATTCTAACAGGGTTGTCTTTGCGCCCCCCCCCCGACTTTCCCTTTCAGCTTCTTGCTGGCCAAGCCTAGCACCCTTCTGAGCTAGTTCCATCTGCACTGAGGGTTGGGGGCCTAAGGCCCACCCAGAGACACCGAGGCACCCACAGTTGCCCAAAGTCCCCTCTCCCAGCACATGTGGGTGCTTGAGCTTAACATTCCAGCCAGACTCGTCAGCTGCCAGGAGGTTTTTCCTAGTCTGACATTTAATGACAGCGTGTTCCTGCCCCTTCAAGCCAGGTACCACTTGTGGTCCCCCACTTGTCCTCTACACCTGCAGTACCCAACCCCTGGGCCGCAGACCAGTACCAGTCCATGGCCTGTTAGGAACCAGGCCATGGTTCCTAACTCACAGCAGGAGGTGAGTGGCAGACACCAGAGTGAAGCCTCATCTGTATTTACAGCTGCTCCCTATGGCTCGCATCACCTCCTGAGCTCCGCCTCCCGTCAGATCAGTAGCGGCATCAGATTCTCAGAGGGGCAGGAACCCTGCTGTAAACTGCGCATGGGAGGGATCTAGGCTGCGCTCCTTATGAGAATCTAATGCCTGATGATCTGAGGTGGAGCTGGGGTGGTGATGCCAGCGCTGGGGAGCGGCTGCAAATACAGATTATCATTAGCAGAGAGGTTTGACTGCACAATAAATGTCATGTGTTTGAATCATCCCAAAACCATCCCCTCCACCTCCAGTCCCTGGAAAAACTGTCTTTCATGAAACCAGTCCCTGGTGCCAAAAAGGTTGGGGACTGCTGCTCTGCACCCAGCTGAAATATCTCCTCTGTGAGATCACCCCAGCTTCCCCTGCAAGCTCCCAGCTCCTAGCAAATAAGAGTTCCCTGTTATCTCCCTGATGGCCCTTGCCGGTAAACATCCATTCTGGACCTTGGCATCCCCACTGCACCCCTCATAACTGAGCTTTGAAAAGGCAGGACTGTGCAACCTTATTCATCCCTGTCCCGCCGCCCCTAGCACACTGCCCAGCACGTGGCAGGGAAATGTTTTGGTGGCTGCCAAGCAAATGTCTGTGTACTCAGGGAATGCTGACCTGCGGCGTTATCAGCCAGAGACAAACAGCAAAGGGTGGCAAACAGCCCTCCCCCAAACCACACACTTGCTGGCCTGTTTTCCCGTCACCCTCGTCACCCTCGCTTTCCCGGCTGCTTCTAATTTGCACCTTCGATTTCCCAGAAAGCCAGGTGTGTGTGCAGAAAACATTTTAAAGTATCAAATCACGCACACCAAAGAACAATAGATGCTTAAAAATTGTGCCTGGTTCCACATTATCTTTGTCCCCGTTCCCCACATGTGCCGGTGACAGAGTTGCAGGTGATCAGATTTTTAATGATTGCTGCTACGAGGAAGTCCACACATCAGACACGGAGCAGATTGAGCCAGGTGTAGAGGGAGTTCCTTGAAGAAAGGTGGCGGGGAGGGGTATGTCCCTGTAGAGACTTCCTGCCTGCCCTGAGCTGCACAATCTAATCACCCAGGGCTGTAGAGTCCCCACAGACTGTGACTCCAGGGTGCAGCCAGGTTTGGGAGCCCCCACCTAGCCCCAGGCTGGGCTCAGCACTCCCTTCAGGCCAGCCTAAAGACAGAAGGCAAAAACATGCCAGTCCATTTCTCCCTCCTCCCCTGCCCTTGACAAAGGAAGGTCTCCGCTTCACCCTGCTGTCCTGAAATACTTGACAAAACACGTCACACCACGTACGTTCATCCACAGGCACGCCCAGAGGCCACTGTGCACACTGACACTCCCAAAGGCACACCTGCTAACATGGTCCAGCCAGCAGGTGTGCACGGGCATGTGCATGCGCTCACATGTGTGCACACACAGCACACATGCACACACACATGCATGCTGCAGGTTCTCTCTGACCCTGCACAGACCATCTGCTCTCTCTGGCCTGTGTTTGCTCCTCTGCTAAACACAGGCCTCAGACTGAGTGGCTCAGACCACAGACCCGGGAGCCAGCTGCCTGGGTTCAAGTCCCGGCTCTTCCACTTACCAGCTGGTGACCCTGGGCTAGAAACTTCACTTTTCTGAACCTTGGTTTTTTTACCTTTTAAATAGGGATTGCCTATTCATAGTGTTGTTATGAGGAATATACATATAAAAATGGAAGTGCTTAGAACAGTGTCTGGCACGTAGCAACATAAAGTGCCAGTTGTTATTATTATCATTAGAATTATTACTCGTTGTTACGATCCTTCCAGCTTTGACACTCTAGGCATCCATGGTTCCCTGCACGCTTACAGACCCGCGACATAGTCTGCACAGACGCAGGGACGTGTGCATCACGTACAGGTGCACGTGTACGGACCGTCCACACACCAGTGCACGCGCAGCCGCTCAGCTGACACAGAAATGCGCAGGCACGGTCTCAGAGTCCTAACCGGCCTCTGTTCTGTGCACTGTGGGGGATATCGAGGCCCACAAACACCTCACCCCCACAGACACACTCAGTTGATCTCTCGCAGAGACAGGCAGTGCCCATCCATGTCATGGGCAGACCAGAGCTCGAGACTGACTGATTGCACAACAGGCCTGTGCCCCCGAATGACAAAAAACTCAGAGATAAACCTCAGGAGAATCTCAGCTCTCTCACTCTGGGATCCGCAAGGGGCTGTGCCCAACCCACAGTCACCGGGAAGGGACCAGCAGAGCCAGGTCCAGAACCTAGGCTCCTGACTTGAATTCTGCGCTTTCTCTTGACAGCACCCCACCCCCACTGTCTCTTGCCCTCCCCAGACTCTGTACTTCCTGCGGGACAACCCATCCGTGCGTGTCATCCCCGATGCCTCTGCACCCGGCACGGAGTGGTGCTCAGTGAGCATGGAGGAATGAAGGGGAGGGGAGCCAGGAGCCCTGGACAGATCTTGCTCCTTCTCCTGCTTCCTGGTGCTGGCCACGGTGGGAACAATGACCAGGTCACAACGCAGTCATGCCAGCCCACATGGCTGCCAGCTCTGCCAGGGCGCAGCCTCCAACCTCAGGCCAGCTGGGACCTCTCTGCGTGGGGACTCACTGTCTCCACTTTTTGAGCCCTCAATTCCCAGTGTCCAGGGCAAGGCCAGGACATACACTGCCCAGGACCATGGCTCGGAGGTCCTCTGTTCTTTCCGGAAGAGACAGGGATGGAGCCTGAATACACCCCTGCCAAGAGCTGCCCTTCCTAGAGCACCCAGGTGATCCCAGGCCGGTCCTCCCAGTCTGAGCAAGGGGCAGAGCTGGCCCTCGGCCCCGCACCTGGGCACTTCCCAGAGCCACCTGGGGTGCACGCCCCCGACGTGGGGCCATTGAGTGGAACGCGGCACAGACCCTGACCCCTTCCAGCATCGCCCCTACCCCTCGTTGGGATCATGGACCCCTTTCAGCACACAGGCAAGAGTTAGCATCCACTTCCCAGGTCAGAGATCAGCCTCCGCCTGGCCAGAGAAGCCTGGCCAGGCCAGTGGTCTCTGCCACCCTGTCCTTGTGAGAAGAAAATAACCAAAATGCCATGAGACACGCTTCAGACCCTCAGCTCAGCATTTGGGATTCAGCCACGATCTGGCCCCTTACTGCCCTTCCAGCTGTGTCCTCCAGTCCTCCCATAGGAGGAGGTGCCATTGCAGCCAGCCTGGGAGGGCCCCCAAAATGCCCATCCCTGTGCCCAACCTAGAGTCCTCCTGCCCTGGCTCCACTTCTCCCATCGCATCCATCCTGGAGCTCAGAGCTCACCTCCTCCTTGGAGCCTTCCCTGACCATGGGAGCTGCCTCCTGCCCCTCCCTGCTGCCCCGTAGCCGCTCCTGCCCTGATTTCCCCTGGCGCTCCTCCCATCTCCTGGCTCTGACCTCTCCCCTCAGTCATTCTTAGGGGCTCCTTTTCCTCCCATTCTCCCCAAATGCGAACACTTCCCAGTTTTTGCTGTCACCCTTGGGTCTCCCCACCCTGCACAATGCTCTTGGATGACATCACCCTCTCCCATGGTTTCCAAAACCCCAAAAATCTGTATTTCCAGGGGGCTCTCTCCTGAGCCTCAGATGCCTCCCCGTGGAAATCCCTCAGATACTACGAGGTCATTGCATTTAAATCTGAATCCATGCTCCCTTCAAAGCCACTCAAGGACAGCATTGCCACCCACCCAGAGCCCTGGGCATCAGCTCAGACGCCCTGTACCCCGGTTCCTTCACAGCCGTCTTGGCCTCTCCCAACACCTCTTGGCTCCGTCCACTTTGCCCCGTGTCCACAGCGCCCCACTCTGGTCCAAGCCGCCAGGACCCTCTCCTGCTGCCACCTGCAGTGTGGCCTTCCTGCTTCTAGTTTTGTGTCCCTTCAATCCATTTTACACACCGAAGCCCAAAGATCATCCACCAGTAGCACGTGTATAATCATGTTGCATCCCTGTTAAAGCCTTCAGAATCAAGATCCAACCCCTCGGCTTAGCCCCCAGGCCCTCCCTCCATGACGGGGCCCAGGACTTACTTGCAGCCTCATCTGCTGTGGTGTGCAAGCAGTGCAGCGCTTTCTGATCGCCCACTGCAGGCCTTCGCACACGCTGTCCCCTGGCTAGGAGGCCTTTCTCCACTTTGTCACCTGGCTGCACTGCTCATAGCGCGAGACTCAACTCAGAACTTAGAGAGAACTTCCCCTGAGAAGCCTCGCCTGCCCCTCAAGCATGGTTTCGTTCCCTTGAACCTGCCTACCCCCATCACAGCCCTGCAACTTTGGGTTTCTGGTTGGTAGCGCCCGCACACATGGAGCACTCCAGGCCTACACGCCAGGACTCTGGGCATCTGGAGATGGGGAGTGGGGTGCAAGCCCAACCTTACCTGTCTCTGTGGGCCCGTAGGATCCGACTCTCTCCGTCGAGGGCGGGGTCCCGAGTGCAGGGGTGAGTGGGAAGGGCTGCCAGGCGTGGGGGGTTGTGACGTCTCTGAACGGCCATCGGCCTGGCTCAGCTGAGGTGGCGGGAGCTGGGGCGGCATGAGCCGCATGTCCTCCTCAGCCAGCGTCTGCATGCTGCGTCCCCGGGGCCGGACGGTGGGCTCTGTCCCTGGCCGTCGCCGCTCCTCGCCCTCCTCGGGCAGCGGCCGCAGCTCCTCTGGCTCCTCGTCCGTGGTGCCCGATGTGCTGGGCTCAGCCCCTGGAGGGAAATCCTTGAGCTCCGTCTCCTTGTCAATGATGACCCACTCCTTGCTGTCGAAGTCCTCCTCCTCAGCCAGCGGCACCGAGCGGAAGGCATTGCTCAGGGCCTCCTGCTCCACAGAGGCTGACACGTCCATGCGGCCGCTGGCCTGCCGGTCGGCGTGGCCTGTGTCCACTGACAGCATCTGGGCTGGCTGCGAGGAGCAGGCCTGGCGCGAGGGCGAGCCAGGCAGATCCATCCGTGACCTGCAAAGCCACCCCATGTGGGGCTCAGTGCCCAGCCCCGCTGGACCCCCTCTGGACCCCCAAGCAGGTGGCAGGGTGGAGCCTGACTCCTGAAACCTCGTGACCACGGTACCCCTACCCCTTGGGCCAGGCTGGTCACCTCCTAGGTTGTCACCTGCCAACTTCACTTCCTATAAAGACTTAATGAGGTCATTCATTCATTCATTCAGCAAGTGGTTTTGAATGCTTACTGTGTTCCAGGAGTACATGCAAGCAGAAAATACATTCTCGTCTACGGCCATACCACCCTGAACACGCCCGATCTCAGCTGATCTCCGGAGCTAAGCAGGGTTGGGCCTGGTTAGTACTTGGATGGGAGAAAATAAAATCTGGTTTGTGCGCCAAGGAACACACTCCCCTGGGCCACCCCAGGGAATCTAATCTTCCTAAAGCCAACTTCGTTCTTGCTAGTCCAGGGCTCACACCCACCAGTGGCTCCCTCCTTCTGCATCTGGGGCAAGCACAGCCAGCCGGCCCTTGAGTTTACAGATGGCTTTTCCAGCCTCTTCTACTACCACTCTCCAGGCCTGGCCGGCTGGTGTCACCACCCCTAAGATGGGCCTTGTTAGCCCCAGCTTAACAAACTCCAGTCACTCCCCAGCCCCAAGAACAAAGTCCACATTCCTTAGTTTGGCACTCAAGGCCCTCACAGCCCGACTAAGGCTCAGTTTCCCCTTCCCCTAGCCAGATCCATCTCAGATTCCCTCCACAGGGCCCGTCCCTTCCCACAGGCTGTCCCCCCACCTGGCCTTTCCCCATAGGACCTCTGTCCACACACAGCCTGTCCTCACACCCTTCACTGTCTGACCCAGGTTGGATGTCACCTCCCCCAGCCTTTCCTAGCCTGCCAGGAGGATTAGTTTGCCCTCACAGGACACCTGTGTCTCCCTCTCATCACAGAGCGGACCTCACGTCTATTTACGTATCTGTCTCCCCAAGAGACTGTGAGATCGGCCAGACAGGGACTGGGTTTCATGTGACTTTTTACCTCAGGGGCAGTGATTCTGCCTTGGGACATCTCTTTTTGCCATTATCTTTTTTTTTTTTTGATACAGAGTCTCACTCCGTTGCCCTGAGTGCCGTGGCGTCAGCCTAGCTCACAGCAACCTCACACTCCTGAGCTCAAGTGATCCTCCTGCCTCAGCCTCCCAAGTATTTGGGCCTACAGGTGTGTGCTCCCACGCCCAGCTAATTTTTCTATTTTTAATAGAGAAGGGGTCTCACCGTTGCTCAGGCTGGTCTCGAACTCCTGAGCCCAAGCGATCCTCCTGCCCCAGCCTCCCAAGTGCTAGGATTATAGGCATGAGCCACCGCACCCGGCCTCTTTTTGCCATTATCTTAAACTGTGAATCTCACGTGACTTCCAGAGCTTCTCCACTTGGGGTGATAGGCCAAGGTGAGGGCATCTCTAGTTGTACAATAGTGTGTGTGGTGGGGTTGGGGGAGGATGCTGCACAAGGAATCATAGTCCTCTCCCAAATGACAGGTTACCCCACTGAGAACCACCAGCGGGGGCTAACTCATTTGGGGTTTGTGAGCTTCCTCACATTCAGGCCTGTGGGGGGGGCTGACTTTACTCCCCCCAGCATTGAGCTGGTGGCTCGAAGGCTCTTCTACTCCAGAGGAAGGGGGGCAGATCAGACCCACCTGTGGGCCTGTCTCAAAATACTCCCGCCATGGCCTACATGGGACCCGCCAAAGCCACTCTATGCAATATTTTTATTGATTTGTTAATAAGGCTTAAAATAGAACATCCCTGAGAGAGGCCACCTAGGGCCTTATATTTACACTCCCGTGTAAAGGGCTGATATCATTTTCTTTCCTGAGAGCAGTTTGTTTCCACAAACCTAGAGAGAGGGTGCCAAAGGAAGTGCAGGGCTCAATCACATGTGTGCATGTGTGTAGGGGGGTGCAGGTGTGGGGGGTGTAGGGCAGGGGGCAGGACTGAAGACAGGGGGAGGGAAGTGGGAAATCCAAATCCAAACTGCTTCATACCGGCTTCTGCTCCCGAGCGTTCCAGAGCCCATCCGAACCCTCTGCCATCTGTGAGATCCTGAACCTTCTGTTCCAGAAAATCTCCCCTCAGCCCTCTCCTCCTTTCCCCACCAATCCTGACATTAGGGTTCACTATGAGCCAAACCAAATTGCTTATCGCTCCCTAAAAGCAGGCAGCTTTTCAGAGCCATCTTGTTCAGAGCATTTCCCAGCTCTCTTCTCCACTCATGTCCCTTCCAAGCCGCCCCTCCTCTGTCCTCCGTTTCCAGAACCCTCCATGCTGAGGGACTCCAGCCTACCATGGATGAAAATGGTGCTCTTCAGTTCCAGGCAGGCCAACCTGTGTGGGTGTGTGAGGACTGTCGCACCCTCAGGAAGGGCCCACACCCCCGTCTGGGGCATCTCTACACCCCAATGTGGCACTGCGCCCCATCCCGGAGGTGGAGTCCAGTTTGGGGCAGAATCCAGAGGAGGCACCATGGCTGAGGTAGGTCATGAGGAGACACACTGCATAGCTGCCAGAAAGGAGTCCCCCTCCACCCAGACTGGGTCTCGGGGAGAGATCCTCTTCCTGGTGCAGAGAAGGCCCCAGGCCTGCTGTGGAGTGAAGCCCCACTGAGAGGCCAAGGGAAGGTGGAAACATCTCTCAGGAGCTTCTCACGCCTGGTGTTGTCCCCCCACCAGCAACGTCAACCGACCACACTGCCATCTCCCCGCTTCCCCTCCTAAGGCTCCCCCAGGCTCTAAACTCTCCAACGCTGCCTTTCACCAGGCAGGTTCCCGCTGTCCCGCCCCACTCTGACTTCAGGTCCCTCAGCCCTGACCCCCAAAACTTGGCTGTCCTGTCCTCCAGCAGTTCCCAGGCCCCCTCCCCCAAGGCTGAAGGGACCCTACTGCCGCCGGCTGCTCTTGAAGCGTCTGTAATTAGTCCTAGGAGAAGACATTCTGGAAGCACACCCACCCACCAACTCGCCCCCACCCCTCCTGGGCCCAGGACCCAGCCTGTCCCTCCTGTGTCTTGCCCCCTCCCCATCCCCTCTTCCCTGCCCTGTCACTCACCCCAACCAAGTCCGGCCCCAAACATAACCTTCTCAACACTTCCCAGGGCCCCACACACCTCCGCCTCACATGGGACTTCTCCTTCAGACCAGACATGTGAGGGCGGAGGGACCCCGGCCGGCCGGGCCAAGCCCGCACCCACCTCCTCTCGTGCAGCTCCACGCGCCCGTCCGCCGTGGAGAGCCGCTCCGACTCGGGGCTGTTGACCCTCCGGTAGCGCAGAGAGCGGACTGGGGTAGTGGGGGATTCTGGGGGGGCACGCACTGGGGAGCTGGGGACCCCCACACCTCGGCTCTGCTCCTCCTCCACACAGGGGGTCTGCAGGAGAGGGGGGTGCCGTGAGCCGGGGCTGGCAAGGCGGCAGGGGCAGGAGGGTGCAAGGATCCTGAGAGGCAGCAAGGCCAGGGCGGTGGAGGGGACCCGGACATGGAGGCAGGGCGAGTGGGCAGACAGCTGGGGAGAGGGCACTCAGGGGGAACGGGGCGGGGGCCCGAGGGCTGGGAATGGGGGTTGGGGGAAGGCCACCAGCGCCCTTCTCCCTGGCTGCAGTTACTTTGCCGATGTTGATCCGGAGTTTGTTTCGGTTGACATCCGTTTCCTCCCAGACTTCAGCCTCGGGACCCCCGGGGTGGGGGACGAGGTGGGGGCTGGGGCCCAGCCCCTCAGAGGGCCTCCCAGGCAGAATTGGGGGTGCGTTCTCCTGGTCACTCAGGTGCTCGCCCTGCAGCACATCCTCGGTGTTCTCCCGGAGCAGGTCCCCAGGCACAGGCGTCACGTTGACCACCCTGAAGAGGACAGGAGGGAGGCATGGATAAGGCTGGTGAGGGGGGTGCCCTCTCCTCCCACGGCCCCTTCCCACCAGCACAGGCCCTGCAGACCACCTGCGAGAGTGGGCACAGAGGAGGCCCTGGCAGGGTGGGCATGTCCCCTACACCCCTCACCATCCACAAGGCCTCTGAGACCAGACCACCCTCAAGTTGGCAGGTCCCCCACCTGTCTCCATGCACTTAGCAAACCCTGCTGTCGTGCAAGGCCTTGCCAGATTCCCACTGGCATTCACTGCCTGGCTTCCTTCAGACCCAGGAACGGGTCTAAAAAGAAGAATCACCTTGGAGTTCCTTGAGCAATGTCTGTACGGAGCTGAGCACCATGAAGTGCTGCCAAGTCCTGTTAATCTCCTTCCTGAAGGCGTCCCCTGCAGCCCCTGCCCATTGCTCCCCTTGGCTTCTTTCTGGGGCTGGGTGGGGAGCCCCTTCTCACTCCAGCACCCGCCGGGGCCAGCTCTGTCTTTGTGCCTGTCACTTGGTTCTGAAATTCCTAACCCATCTGTTGCAGATGTCCCAGACTTGGCTGAGAGCACTTTGAGGCAGGGGCTGTAACTTTTGTCTCTGAGCCCCCACAGTGTCTAGGTGTATGGCCTCAAGACATGTTCATTAAATTAATGTGAATGATAGGAAAGAAACTGCGGGGTTCAGATAATTTCCCTGGGCAGCAGCGAACCCACCAAGGTCAAAAACTCCAAAGGAGAACGCCCACTCTGTGCTCAGATTGAGAATGGAGATGTTTCGGAACTCTGCTGGTGAGCACCAAGAAGAGGAGAGACAGCCAAGGGTGTCCAGGTAGAGACAGAAGGAGAGGGCTGGCTTCTCCGTAACCCCAGATCCAGGCAGGGGTCAGCTGCTGCCCCATCCCGCCCTGGCCCCTCCAGAGACTCACCCGAACATGGCTGCCGTCTGCCGGGTGTTCTGCTGGGGCGGGGTGGACGTGCTTGTGGACAGGAGGGCATCAGTGCCTGCTTTCTCCCAGTCAAAGGCCTCATTCTCTGCGATGCCCCGCTCCTTCATGCTGTTCTCAAACACCGACATGATCAACTGCAGGGGATGGGGGTGGCCGGAGGACAGAGAGGTGACCCCGGGGCTAGCCAGGAGGAAGGGGCAGTTGCCGGGATTACAGGGGAAAGAGAGGGGCCTTCCAGGACAGGAATGGGCCTGGGGGGGCATTGGAAGGAGAAGGGCACATTGATTTTAAATGAAAACATGCACATGATATGCAAATTAGCATGCAAATTATCATCTTGGATTAAGCCCCACTGGCGGGACAAACCCTCTGAGATCCATCCCCCGATTACCATCTCCAACCTCCTCTGCCATTTCCACACATCGGCAGCCCTGAACCACTAGGAGTTTCCCAACCCTCCACGTGGGGCCCTGCCTCTGCACAGACTGCTTCCTTTGTGGGGGCCTCCCCACCAGCTTCCGTTCTATTCACTCATCACGGGGCAAGTGCTGGGTTCGAGCTGCTCACTTGCCTTTCGGCCTACTCTACATCCCTAGAAGCCAGCACAGGGCCCAGCACAGGGGGTGCTTGCAGCTGTGTGGTCTGGGGACTGGGGACACCTCCGCCAGCAACTGAGGCTCTGGGTTCAGAAGATGGCAGGCAGCTGTAGACACTCTAAGGCCCCCAGACTGTTCCACTTCTGGCTTGGCTCTCTCCAGAACTCAAGGAAGGTTCTCTCTGCTGACAGGACTCACTCGATTGAGTGCCTGCTGTGTGCCTGACACTGTGCTCCCCACAGTGTGCAGCCTCGTGCCTGGCAGAACACTGTGGATGTTCCTCCCGCTCTCCGATCAGGGTCAGCATGTCCCATGGGTGTGGGGATGGGGGCTCAGAAAGAGCACTGACTTGGAAGGAGTCAGATGTACCTGAGCCCTGCTCCTAACCATGACGTCAGGCCTCACTTTCCACATCCATAAAATGGGAACAATCATCCCACTTGGCCTCCTGTAGCTTTGATGTAAAGTACTTGAAAGCACTTGGCTTCATTAATTAGGTGCTGGAATAACAATATAAGGCATACCCATTCTCATCAAAGGCTTATTTTGAAGCTTAAGTGAGTTAATGCATAGAAAGCACTGAGAACAGGGTAGGCTCTTGATAAACCTTAGCTGTGACTACTGCCCCCAAGAGCACACAGCAGCCTGGTGCAGCTGGGAGACTGGGGCAAGTCAGCAGGGGCATGGCACCTTGGCACCTCAGCAGGGGCAGGTGCTGCAGGAGGACAGTCACCCACAGAGGGGCGTCCATGCATGTGGGGGCAGGGTGGCAGGCCCCCACCTGGTAATCGGGCTTGGTGAAGTAGTCGAGGCTGGCAATGTGGTCCAGGAAGAGATGGAACTCTGAGGGCATGTGCTTCAGCAACATCCGGTGCTCATATTTCTCCTTGATCATCCCTACCTGCTCCTGGAGGCAAGAGGGTGGGGGAGATGGAGCCACAGCTGCCCCCACGCCCCCGCTGCCTCCTCAGACCCAGCTGCGTGGGGCTCACCTTGTCCTTGATCTTCCTCCAGGGCAACTGGCCCACTGCAAACTCCACCAGCATGTAGAAGAGGGACCACAGGTCATCATGGCGGCCCATCTCCTGAGGGGGTGATGGTGAGGGAGTCACCTGCAGCTCTCAGGTCCTTCCCTAGGAATGGGCGGCTGACCCTTCTCTGAGGGGCACCTGTCAGGGAGGCCTGACACCCAGGCCCCTATGGACACAGCTGGGGTCTATCCCCAACCCTCCAATACACACAGAATCCCACAGTCAAAACTTCTTTCTATGCTTCTCGCCCCACAGTGATTTGTAGTGGGAACAGAGAGAATGTGGTCCCAGGAAAAAAGGAAGAAGGTGAATCCAAAGAGGCCGACAGTGGGGCCGTCTTCCAACCTAGGGTCTCATTCTTCGTCCCCTGCTGACGTCAGCTACCCCCTCCCCAGCGGCACACTCCACCCCAACCTTGTCCGTTCCGCCCCCACGGCTCTCAGTCCAGGCTTTGCCACTCACCCGGTTCTTGTGGGCATTGACCGAGGCATAGCGAACGGTCCCTCGAAACCCGGCCACATTCCGAGGCTGCAGAGGACAGACCACCACAAAGAACCTCACCCATTACCCCCTGACCTCGGCCACATCTCAACCCACTACCCAGCCCAACTCTGCCTGTCCTAACCCCAGCCAGCTGCCCTGGTTGGGACTGAGCCTGGCACACCACTCCTGGGATCTGCTCTCTGAGCCCCAGGTCCTAACCTGCCCTCTGATGCTGCTCACGCCTGGAGTGGGCAGAGGGATCACAAGGTGTGACAGTGGCATCTACCAAGAGCCCGGGCTAAGGGAGAGAGGGGATAGGCTGAGTGTGGACCCCAGAGTTGGATGGCACTGATACTAAACACAAGGCCAGGCCAGCTTAGGTAGCTGCAAGAAAAGTTGGTGAAGGGTCCCCAAATCAGGGAGTAGGGGAGTAAGTCCTCCACGGTCCTCCTGGCCTCAGGCAGGGAAGCTCAGGTCTCCCATGTGTGGCAGTACTCACAGGCCGAACGTCCCCCGTGGTGTTGGTGTACTGCCGGGCCAGCCCGAAGTCCAGCATGTAGCACTTTCTGTAGGTGGAGGGCAGCCTGCCCATGGCAAAGTTTGACTAGGAGGAGACAGCAGCTGTGAGCCCTGGGGGCTCCAACCCCACCTAGCCCACTTCAAGGGCCACCAAGGAACAGCTCTGCAGCAGGTGAAGGACCCTCAGCCCCACACACTCACACACAAGGAAACCATCAACAATCACACGTGTGTGGCAGGTCACATCCGAGGGACAGGTGTGATTACCCTCATTTCAGAGATAAAGAAACTGAAGGTCAAAGAGCCCAGGGAGCTTCTTTGAGATCACAAACCAAGCGACGACGACTCAGCCAGGGTTTGAACCCAGGCCTGTCTGGCTCTAAATCCTTGGGACTCCCAGCAGGATGGGGATGCTTGGTGTAACAGTCCTGCTCTAAGGCAGCAGACCTGCACTTCGCTTGCTGTGTGACCTTGGGCCACTCAACTAACCTTTCTGCACCTCAGTATTCATCCCTCTAAATGGGAGGTGTTTTTCTAGCACCAAGATCCAAGATACCACAAAATCAGCTACTTGGAATTCCTTAGCAAGCCCCAGTCCCTAAATCCCCTTCCCCCAATCCCTCCATCCCTTACTAGGTTCGAGGACTCTTCAGGGTGAGGCAAAGGATGAGGAAGAGAAGAGAGAACAGAGGAGAGGGCGGGGTGTTTGTTCTGGGAGGCAGGGAGAGGGGAGATGGGCTGGGTGCACAGCAGGAGGTGTTCAGGTAGAAGAGGCTGTCTCCTCCTGAGCACTGTTGTGGAGAAGAAATGGGGACCCAGGGAGGGAGAGGAGGAGGGGATGTGCTCTGGAGGAGGGAAGGGAGGGGTGGGGCAGGGAGGGCAGCGCTCACCGGCTTGATGTCGCGATGCAGGAAGCCCACAGAGTGGATGGCCTCGATGGACTCCAGGATCTGCTTGCCCAGCCGCAGCGTGGTGCTCAGCGTGAAGGTGCCTCGCGGCTGGCTGCGGCGCAGGTCAGCCAGGTTGCGGCCCTGGGGTGGGGGGTGGGGTCGCAGACCTGCCTCAGCTGCCCTCCCAGCCACCACCACTGTGACACTCAGGCCAGCCTCACCCCCCAAAGGGCTGTGCCCACCCCCCACTCCCAGGGCTGCAGTCTCCCTTCCCTGCTCCCCACCTTGGAGTGGCAGCCCCGGCTCTTGGTGAGGGGAGGGAGGATGGGCCCGGCCCGGGCTCACCTGGAGCTGCATCACTACATAGTTAAACTTCTCGTTCCTGCCACAGCCGATGAACCTGCACACGTGGTCCTTCCCTGGGGGGCACAGACATGGGTCTCCCAAGTCCTACTCTTTCTTCCTCACTTCTGGCCCTAAGGTGGGCTCCTGGTGCACCCTTGATTCCTGGTTCCCCCAGAGCTGACCCCATGGTGCCTCTCCCATCACTTCCCTGCTCTCAGCCTCATCATCTCTCCCAGAATCTGGCTCCACTACCTCCCTTACACCAGGGACCCATCTGGCCTCTGCTGTAACAACCCAGCCTCTTGCCCCAGCACTCTCTTAGACTCTGGTTCCATCACCCCTTCCCTCTACCATACTATTAATACATCTCTTCCTCATGCCCATCCCCTCTCTCAGCCCAGCTCCATCATCTCTTCCCTCCCATCCCCCTGCCCTAGGCCCGCACCTTGCAGCTTTTTGAGCACAGCCACCTCCATCTTGAGGACCTGCTTGGGCTGCTGGGCTGACTCCACCTTGAGGGCCACATTCTCCCTGGTCAGCAGGTCCATGGCCTCATAGATCTCACCAAAGCCCCCGCCTCCGATCTTTTTCAGCTATGGAGATGGGGGATAGGGGATGCTCAGAGATTGGGCTGAACAGCTCCTGGTCCTACCCCCTGCTGGGTTGCATCCTTCACTGGTGGGGGCAGGAGGGTATCCTTGAAAAGGAAGACCCCATGTCTCCCTTGCCCCACCCCATCAGTGCCTCTACCTCTTCTCCTAGTGCCCAGAGGCAGACAGCTCAGGCCCTGGGTATACAACCATCCACACACACACACACACACACAGGGCCAGATGTCAGAGTGGGTAGTAGGAAAGGTTAAGAGACCTGTGACTCCACGCAGACATGGAGACAAGCCTATGTAGGATGCTGTCTTGGATCTTTTCTTCTCTAGAAGGTCAACAAATATCATCCTCCCCCATCCCCTGCCTGGACTGAGCAACCCCCCTTGCCAGAAGGAAAACCAACTTCAGGACCTCCCAGCCTCAGGATGGATCAATCCCCCAGGGAAGCCAGAACTTCTTAGGGTTGGCAGTCTCCTGAAAGGTGTCGCCGAAGGGAGAGAGTATTTGGGGGAGGGGACTCAGCAAAGGGTGTTCACAGCCCACGTTCACTCCCTGGGTGCCGGGTCAGATGCCCAAACCAGGGTGAGCCTCCTCTCCAGGCAGGGGGCACTGAGAGGGCATGGTGGGAATGGGGCTTTAGAGAAGACTGGAGCGGCGATCTGACCCCTCAGCTCTCTTCCTCCTGCCTCCCAGCGCAGGCAGTGACAATGGCAGAGAGGAGAGCTGTGATGGAGGCAGGCAAGCTGAGTTCCGGGGAGGGATTAAAAATCACTCAGGGCCGCGGTGGCTCACACCTGTAATCCTAGCTCTCTGGGAGGCCAAGGCAGGCGGATTGTTTGAGCTCAGGAGTTCGAAACCAGCCTGAGCAAGAGCGAGACCCCGTCTCTACTAAAAATAGAAAGAAATTAATTGGACAACTAAAAATATATAGAAAAAATTAGCCGGGCATGGTGGCACATGCCTGTAGTCCCAGCTGCTCGGCAGGCTGAGGCAGAAGGATTGCTTGAGCCCAGGAGTCTGGGTTGCTGTGAGCTAGGATGATGCCACGGCACTCTAGCCAGGGCAACACAGTGAGACTCTGTCTCAAAAAAAAAAGAAAAAAAAATCACTCAGAAGTCAGAGGTCCAGGGGCCTTGGAGGGTGAAATCACCACTGGCAGAGATGGGGGAGCAGGGAGAAGGTGCTGAGTTCCAAGTAGGGATTCGTTTGGTCTCAGAAAGATGTACAGCTTGATTCTCTCCCCATCAGGGGGCCCACCCTCATGGTGGCCTGACCTCTCTGAGCAGCTTCCTGGGCCCTTGCTGTTGGCTTGTGTTTCACCAGCCGCAGCTGGGCTCTGATCAGCTCTGATCAGCCTGTAAACGCCCGACTCTAGGCCTCCTGCATCTCCGAGCCTGTCCCTTAGCATCTGTTCAGCATAGGAAGGCCCAATGATTGTTTAATGGTGGTTGACATCGGGAATGGAGGGAGGAAGAGGATAGGGCAGAGATGGAGGACTGGGCGTTCCCAACAGGTTACAATTGAAATCACTCCTGGCAGAGAGAGGAGGATGAAGGGAAGATTTAGAAGAGAAGTGGATGGCTTGGGGGGTAGGGGGGAGAACTTCAATGTTCTTGTGCCCCGGAAGGAGACAGGGAAAGAGGAAGGAGGAAGAACAGTGAGAAAACAGAGCGTGCTTTTGTACTCCAGATGAAAGTTAAAGTCAGGCTCTGGAAGAATTTCAGAAGCAAGAAGGGACAGACTCAGACTCCAGGGAAACAACGGCATGTCTTCCTCTGGGGAACTTCAAACTCAGGGGAGATGCTAATATCTTCTAGATTCCTTTATGGTTTGCTTGTGTGAGTACAGAGGAAAGGGCGAGGGGGAGGGAAAAATAACTGCATCTCAGGTTCACAGATGCCAGTTAATCCCCAAAGGCTCCTGGTAACACAGGTGAAGAAGGTCACATGACTCCCCATTTCGTACAGAAGGAAAACTGAGGCACGGGGAGTGTAGTACCTTGCCCCATGTCTAACAGCCAGTAAATAGCAAAGCCAGGTTTCATTCAGACCCAGGCAATCTGATGCGGAACCCACACTGACGCGGAATCCAAGACGTTGCAGGAACTACGAACCCCATCGGCATTAGGCGTGTGAGTGCTGAGATTCAAGCCCAGATCTGCCAGGCTCCAGAGTCCTTGCTGGAGATAAGTAAGGAAGGCTCGGGGCAGTCAAGACAGTTATGACACCTACTCCCCAATTTCCCAGGGTGCCCAAGGGCATTTCTCTACCACCTTTATTTCCAAACAGAGCCTACTTCTCCTTCTTTAGTCCCCTCCTTACTTACCCACCCCCTACTCATTACAGAACCTTCCTAGGGCAGGAGCTGGGCATCTGCACCCTCTTAACAAATATCTGTCCTCCCTGTGCCCTACAGCTAGGGCTGATTTATCTGTTTGGCACAGTGACTAGGCCCCTGATACTTTTAGGGATTCATGAAAATGTTTTAATTTCTATTAAAATCAGAAGGGAGGCCGGGCGCAGTGGCTCACACCTGTCTGTAATCCTAGCTCTCTGGGAGGCCGAGGCGGGAGGATTGTTTGAGCTCAGGAGTTCGAGACCAGCCTGAGCAAGAGCAAGACCCCATCTCTACTAAAAATAGAAACAAATTAGCTGGACAACTAAAAATATACAGAAAAAATTAGCCGGGCTTGGTGGCACGTGCCTGTAGTCCCAGCTACTCGGGAGGCTGAGGCAGAAGGATTGCTTGAGCCCAGGAGTCTGAGGTTGCTGTGAGCTAGGCTGACGCCACGGCACTCTAGCCTGGGCAACAGAGCGAGACTCTGTCTAAAAAAAAAAAAAAAAAAAAATCAGAAGGGAAAAAATGGGCTTCTAGGTCAAAGAGAAAAATCTAATATATAATATTAATATATTCCTCGTAGTCATAAAATACAATTTTTAGTACTTTATTCTGGAGGAAGGGGCCCAGAAAGTCACAGTGTGGCCCTGCCCACAGCCCAGCCCAGGAATATTCTCTCAAACTACCTTTGCCAAACCCTATTCCTCCCTGCTCCTAAATTGTTCCCAACCCTGCAGAAAGACCTTCCCTAAACTAGAGGATTAGTATGACACGATAGGACCAGAATTAGTCCTTGAGAGGAAGGAGGCCTGGTTCCTTGGCCCAGCTCTGGGTGCCCTGGGCCACTCTTCCTCCTCTGTAAAATGTAGAAAGGTGGGGCTACCTTCGGTCACAATGACTCCTTCAGCTCTATGGTCCTGATTCTTGGATGGGCTGATTCTTGTCAGACAGACCTGGTCCCACCTACTAGTCATAGAATCTTGGCAAATTAGTTAATCTCTGTGCCTCAGTTTCTACACCTGTGAAATGGGGGTAATAACAGTTTCTACTCGACAGGTTGTTGAGATAATGCACATAAGGCATTTTGCACAGTGCCTGGTGACAGTAAATGCTCAAAACAAATGCTAAGTTTTTATTATTGCTTTTGTTTGCTATTCTAATTCTGTGAAGCACCCTTCTAAAAGAATAAAATGTTATTTTTAAATACTCCAGCTAGTACCACTGACCCCCATTTTCTCCTGGCCACAGTCCATCTCTGGGCAGTCTGTCTTGGTTCCTGAGCTCTGCCTCCCATCTCAGTTCCATCCTCACTGGGAATAAGCTGGTGGGAGGCTTGCGGCACCACCCTCTCCAGTTCTCCAAGGGCAGGGGTAGGAGGTGGGAGTAAGGAGAGGTCGGCAGGCCTGGCAAAGACTGCATACTCGCCCTCCCCCAACTCTCCCTCTCCATCTCTCCCCACTCATCTCCCACTCCCTCCCTTAGAAAGCACAAGAAAGTTCTAGCCCAAACTCAGTACGGTGCAAACACTCTTTTTTACCTCTACAGTACAAATGTCATTCTGCCTCCAACCTGCCAGAAGCTAAGCTCTGGTGCCAGCTGACCCAGGGGGTCTTACAGGAACACTCCTCACTTTGCAAGACCCTCTTTCCTTTTATTACTGCCCTGGCTCCTCCTCCTCCTCCAGTTTCTGTCCCAGCGCTCTCTCTCTCAGGGAGTCCCTCTCTGGGACATAAACGGGCCCTTGTCTCATCTCATCCCCTAAGAGTCTCCTCCTCTCCACCCACTCTGTGCCCTCCTCCCCCTCCCCTGAAGTCCCACCTTTGCCGTTCTCCCTGGGCCTCTGGGGGACCTGCTCGGCCTAGGTGGCTGTTGCCACGGAGACCCTCCCTCTCGCTCACTCGGGCCCCACCCTCCTCCCCAACCTCGCACCCCTGGCCAGCGGAGCCTCCCGACTAAAGCACGCAGGAGCGCGCGGCGCGCACACACACGCACACACACGCACACACACGCACACACACACACACACACACACACGCACACGGACTCCGCGTAAACCTGACCTCTGTCGGTCTCCTTCTTTTCGGCTCCCCACTCAGGTGCAGACCCACAAGCCCACATACTAGGTCCCCCGACACTACTGCCCACATCATCCTGCCCCCATAGTGATAAGACATCAGAGCGCTCGTAAGTGAAGGAAAAAAGAGAAGCCGGACTAGGGCTCATTTACAGTAGGTCCTGTTCTCCAGACACTGTCATTCTCCCGACCCTCACGTGCCCCCCTCCCATCAAAGGCCCAAATCCCCGAGGAGGCTCGGACTACAACTCCCAGCAGGCCGAGCAGCCAGAAGTCCCGGGCCGGAGGAGCAAGGCACGCCGGGAGATGTAGTCTCGTGGTGTTGCACCTGCCGCAGGAACCGGTGAGGGGAGGAGGGTGGATGGAGAAGATGGAGTGCGGATGCGGTGGGAGCAGCCTGCAGGGCCTCTTTCCCGAACCCAGGCCTTTCCGTCCTCTGCGGACGCGGAGGGACACATGCTCATTCACTGCCCTTCTCCAAGGTCCAGCAGAGAAAGAGCCCCCTCCCCCACCACCTCCCTCCTCCCCACACCGGGCTCTGCAGCGCCTGCCCAGACATCCAACCAGGAGTTGTTCCAGGCTGGGCCCGACCAACGTGACCTAGCGGGGAAAGGGGTGCGAGAGGGCAGGGTTGGAGAGAGAACACTAGGCGAAAGCGATTGTCCACACGTGTAGTCAAAAATAATGACCTGCTAGCACTATGCAAATGAGCTCAGAGGCACCTCCCTCTTAGGGTAGGGGCGCCGAGGGCACCTGTTTTAACAAATCTCCAGGTCCTCTCCTCCTTCTCCCCTCCTCCCTCTTCTCCCCCCAGGCCACTCACTCACCACCTTCCAGCGATCCTTGACCACGTAGTTGGCCGGCAGGATGTCGGCCTGCTCCCCTCCCCCACTCATGTTGGTTTCGTCCTTAAGGGCGGCCGCTAGGCACTGCATCCGCCAGCCGGAGGGAGGGGTGTCCGCAGGGCCTGCCCTGGGGGGGCCATCTACCTGGGGGAGTAGGGAGGGGCTGTGAGTTGGGGGCTAGCTGCCGACCCAGGACCACCTTGCAGATATGGACGAGGGAAGCTCCACTCTACTGGCAGGCATTCTTCCTGGGCCCACTGGGCACATGCGCCAGGGATTACTGGGGGAAGCACAGTGTAAGGGCCGGTGGAGGTCAGTGGAAGGGAGATACAAACTACAAACCCGAGATGTGAAAATCAGCAACAGGACACACACGTTGATGAATAAAAGAGAGGAAAATGATGTGTGAGCAGGCTGTGGGGAAAGTGTTTACCAAAGAGACACGTGCTAACTAATGTGGGGAAGACTTGCTAACCCAGAGGGCATACTAGACTGGGACCTCCACACTTGTGTAGGGGAGACCTGCGGCAAGAAGGACCAGTCTGGGTGACTCAATCTGTGGTCCCTAGCACCCATACATAAACCTTCCCTGTGCCACAAAATGCCCATGGAGCTGTGCATCAGTGGCTTAATGCAAAGGGAAGACTTGCTGACCAAGGGGTGACCCATGGGAGACCCACGCCAGAGTGACCTGCTAATCAACCCTGGGAGCTGTAATAATCAAGAAAATAAAGAAAACTAAGGGAGACACTGTAGCCCCTTGAGGGTGGTGCTAAGTGAGGAGGATGCAGCCACTGAGAGACACGCACTATTCTCAGTGGTGAGATGAACCCCCCACATGGAGTTTGGGAAGTGAGGATGCGAGCGATGGGTGAACATAGGTGATGGACTCAAGACATGGATGTCGGAGGGACTGCAGTCCTTTGGCCACTTCGGAGGGACAGAGGCAGGCTGAATTGGGGAGAGCAGGAAAGTGGGAGCAGCCTAGCAGAAGGCAGGAGGAGTGACAGGGAGCAGCGGGTCTGGGCGGGCACAGGGTGAAAGAGTGTCCAACCACACCTTTCTGTGTCTGCTCAGGAATCAACAAGAAGGAACATACCTCTTGTCACCTTAGGATGGGTAGAAGTTGGATACCAGGGAGAGTTTCCCAACTGTGAGGGCTGGGAAAGCCGGGCACATGCTACACAGGGAAATGTAAATGTGTGTGTGTGTCTGTGTATCTGCGCACGTATCCCTTTGTGTGCATATGTGCCTTTGTGTATCTTTCTGTGTCTGTGTGTCTATTAATGTGTCCATGTGTGTTTTTCTGTGTTTATCTACGTGTCTCTGTGTGCTTGTGTCTGTCTGTGAATGTCTTTGTGTCTACATCTGCAAGCCTGTGTCTGAGTGTGCTTTTGAGTGTTTTTGTGTCTGTCTATATGTGATGTGTGTTTGTGTAGGCAAAGGGCCAGAAGAGATGACTTTCTGAGATCTCTGCCAACCCAGGACAGGATTTGGAACCAGGATCTTTTCCCCTCCTCTTTCCCCCTACACTTTTTGCATGCACACTGCTGTGCCCTCACCGTGACTCCGAAGGGTCACAGGTAGAAGAGAAAGAAGGAAGTTACTCAGGCTAGGGATTGGGGATGGGGGAAGTGGAAAAGCAGGAACGTGACTAAAGATATCTATAGACAGGGTGGAAACTACATAAACCCATCTTTCCTTGGGATGGGATGGTCTCCCAGAGCTCCTGTGTCTAGACATCCTGATACGAGGGGCAGGATGGGATGCGAAGGTGTGGCAACAACCTTCAACAGGTCGTGATGTGCCTTGGGGGACATGTGGAGAAGGGATCTTCATGAGGAGGGACACTGTCACTCTTTTTCTTCAAATGACTCAGCTAAGCTGTTTTCTCCAGTCCACACAACTTCACAGTATCAGGACTCTTCCCTCCTTCTGCCAAAGTGGGATATGGAGTGTCAGGAGTTTGGAGGGCAGTGAAGGCAATGGCAGGGTGAAGGGAGAGGTAGGGATGGAGGTTCTAGAATAAAGGTGGATGAGAGACAAGACTGAAGAAGCGACTGAACTGGTGGGGAAGGGGCCTTAAGAGGTTGAACTGGGTGAAGTCTGGTGGGCCTCCCAGTCCTGGGCTGGTGGATTCTGTCACATCAGAATTTTTGTCAGGTTGAGGAAGGGAATTTGTGTCCTGCTCCCATTTTATAGATGGGCAAACTGAAAAGGAACAGGTGAAGTGGGAAAAGGGAGCGGAGCGTAGAGGCAGAAAGATAAATGTGAGGGTTACCTGCCTCTCCCTCTCCACTGTCCACCTGTCTGCTCAGAGGACGACATGCAGCACAGACTGGGTTGGAAGACACAAACATGAGAAACTTGGCTGTCCACTGCTGCCCCTGAAGGCCCTTTGTGCATGTGGAGGCATGGGTGTGTGATGAGGAGAGGGCTGGTGGCTGGTGGAGGGGGTTTGTATGGATACCTGCCAGAGAGTGTGCGTGCATGAGAGTGTGGGGCCAGTGATGTGTGTGTGTGTGTGTGTGTGTGTGAAAGAGAGAGAGAGAGAGAGAGAGAGAGGCACATCTCTAAATGTTGGGAGCTCACCATGGCATGTGAATGTAAGTGTTGATATGTAACTATGCAAGGTGAGAGCCACGTGTGTGTGTGAATCTCGGAGCCAGGTAAGGCAAGGTGAAGAAGACCAGTGAGGGGCCACGGGAACAGGTGAGAGGTGTGTGGAAGGGAGCAGAGGGGAATGAAGGGGATGAGAGGTGACAGGACCAGAAGAGGGGGTGGGGAAGATAGAGACAGGCCAGAGATAACGATGACAGGTGAGGAAGGGACGGGACCATGAGAGGGGCCTCTGGGCACAGTTGAGAGGGGCGAGGAGGTGGGTAAGGAGGCTATGGAAGGAAAGAAGGTCTGAGGACAGGGAGAGGTTATGGGGACCGCTGAATGACTTGTCAGCGGTGACGGGAGTCGGGGTGAAGCCACAGGGCCAGGGGACCAGGCGAGCAAGGAGTAGCGAAATCCCTGGAGGACAGGCTGGAGAGGATGGGTATGTGTGCTGGGGGCAGGGAGCGGTTCCAGGCCTCGCTACCGCGGCCCAGGCCCTGTAGGCCGGCGTCCCAGCTGGGGCAGGCGGCGACGGCGGCGGGGAGGGGAGCCGGGACGGCTGCGCTGGGAGGGGAGCCAGGCGGGAGGCCCGACGAGCCCGCGGAAGGAGCCCCCTCCCCGACCCCGGCCCGCCCGCCGCGGCCCGCCCCGCCCCGCCTCACCTGCTCTGTGCCCGCTGCGGCTGCGGCTGCGGCGGCCGAGGCAGCGGCTCGGGGCGGCGCATCCCCCGGGGCCGGGGCGGGGCGGGGGCGGCTCAGTGCGGCGCTGGGCGGCCCGCTCTCTCCGGCGGCGGCGGTGGCGGCGGCCTCCCGACCGGGACCATCCCGGCCCGGCCCGGCCCGGCCCCGATCCTCCTCGGGCGACGGCGGCGGCGGCGGCGGCGGCAGAGCGGGGAGCTGCCCACAATGCACTGCGCCGCCAGCATCAGCACCAGCCCTGACATCACCGCGCCGGCACCGCGGCTCTTACATCACTGCCCTTTCTCTGACATCACGTTCTCCCCTCCCCCTCTCTCCGCTCCTACAGCCCTTGGACTGTCTCTGAAGGGCCCGCTCCAGCTCTCAGGTTCTCCTTACTGGTCTCTGCCATTCGCTTGACTCCATACCCCAGCAGAGAGCCCCAACACTCCTTACCTGTCCCCATAAAGCTCACCTGTCTCCATCACCCTTTATCTTCCCCGTTCCAAGCATGTCCCTATCATTCCTCACCCGACCCATCAGCCTTACCTGACTCCCCTCCTCCATCTTCCATATGTTCTTCATATTACATTCCTCTAAACCCATTTCCCTCACCTGTACCCATCCTCTCCTTGGTCCCCATCACCACCTCTTCGAACACCATCCCGCACTTGCACCCACCACCCCTCACCTGCATTTCTTACCTCATTACATATATGCCTTATCTCCTGGCTCGACCTGTCTCTTTCTTCAGCCCTTTCTCCCATCTGTTAACAACTGTCATTGTTTCTTACTGCTTACCAAATAAGATTCACACTCTTTACTGTGACAGTAATAACTCTTCTCAACATGGGCCATAAGGTGATTACTCCCCTTCTGACAGATTGGATTACTCAACATTCCCCGAACAAGCTCTGCACTCTGTCTCTCTCAGTTTCTTCCTTCCCTCATGCTTCCAACAAATGCCTACTGAGCATCTTCAATAATAACAACAATAACAGGAGCCACATACTTCTGCCAGACACTGTCCTAACTTTATGCGTGTTAACTCATTTAATCCTCATAATAGCCCTATGAGCGAAGACTACTATTATTATCCCCTATTTTATAGATGAGGGAACTAAGATACAGAGAGGTTAAGTAATTTGCATCAGGTTACACAACTTGCAAGTGGCAGAGCTGGAATTCAAGCCCTGGCTCCAGAGTTCACGCTCCTAACCACCATGCTGGGAGGAAGGATCATTGAGTCTACAAGAGCAGTCGGGGGAGGCTTCCCATAAGAGGCACACTCAACTGTAATTTGAAGGATTCGTAAAAGGTTGCCGACAGGCAAGTGGAGCCAGGGCAGAGGGTAAAAGAGACTTACAGGCTGAAAAGACAGTATGAGATGAGGCTGGGGGTGGGCCTTGTGTACATTGCCAAGAAGATTAGATTTTATCCATTTGTCTTTTGGAAGTGTAGTGGATACTGTGGTGAGCCAGCCATATTCCCCTTCAGAATCTAGGTACTCATTCCCCCAGGTATGAGATATTGAAGGCTGACTGCTTTCTGCTGAATCCCTCTCTGGGAATTGCCCTTGGCCAAGGGAGCTGCCTCACCCAAGATCATGCCCCTTTCCTGAGACATCCTATATGCAGTCGATGAGTATAAAGGCCTGGCCCCCTTACCCCAAGTCAGGAAAGCTCTGAAGGGACATCCCATTTTGAAAACTGATAGGGTCAGCTGAGGCTTCTGCTGAGACTGCTTCAGAGCTCAACCTCCCTTTCCACTCAATCCTGCCTTCTTCACTCCCCTGAAGATGTTGATCAC